ATTGTTCTTTTGGATTGCAGGAGCCTTTTGTTGTGCAAGAATTAGTTGAATGATGTTTTGAATAATTTCTGTGGGATGAGTTTGAAGACTGTATTGTAAATGCTTGGAAGGTGAAACAACCTTCCATCCCCTCTATTCAATGATTATTTTTTTCTCTTTTCACAAAGATGCTTCCTTGACTCCTCTTTTAAACCGTCTGTTTGCTCAGTCCAAAATCTGAACACCTTGGTCTTATAATGTGTGTCCTTTGTTCTTGAGGTTCCATCTTCCCCAGAGCTACTGTTTCTCCTATGCAGGTGTTTGGTTTTTCCAACAGAGGAGGCTGCACTGAATCACATACAGTAAGGCTCAGGACAAAGGACCCAATATTCAAGGCAGATGGAGAGGTAATTCAAAAGCATTTATTAAAAAACATCAGCTAGGGAATCTTAGGCAGAAATCACTGGTTTAATAGTTCAGTCCGTACCCAGAAAATGAGGTAGACTCCAGTCCATGGGCTGCAAACATGATGTAGTGGGCGCCGCCCAGAATGTACTAGATGCCGTAGCCCCGGAGGACGGAGAACAAGCTAGATCCAGGCAGACGGGGGAAGCCAAAGCCGGTGTCCAGAATGCGATCAGGACTCTGAATCAGGGGATAAGGAGTCTAAAAAGTTTCTGAAGGGAAATCCAGGTTGGTGTACACAAACAGCTCCATGTTTAGTAAGCAGACAGAATCCAGCAGGACTCCAAAGACAGGTTAGTCAAACAGATCAGATGGGAACAGGCAAGCTCAGGTAATCAGAAGCACTAAGGAAACCCTAAAAAACTGGCTCGAGGGAATAATCCACCACTGATGACTGGTTAGAGAGCTGGTTAAATAGAAGCAGGAGCAGGTGGAAAACATGAACGGTAAAATGAAGACGGGCCGTGTTCGACAGATTAATTAATTCTTTCTTTTCTTTGCGCCTGTCCACCTGAACCCTTTAGTAAAAGCTTATATCACACGGTCATCCTGGTCCTCAGTGGATTGTTGTCTAGCAGTGCTTTCACCACGCTTAGGGTTAGACAATCCAGACTTTTTTTATGGGTTGTTCCAAGATGGTGGAATGACCTACCAAGCACTACAAGAACAGCAGCTTCCGTTTATATCTTCAGGAAACTTCTAAAGACCAACCTTTTCAGAGAGCATCTCCTATCCTAAATGTTATCCATACCTCTGTACCCCTCCACTACTCTTCTGTACTTCCCTCTCTCTCTCTCTTAGCTGTAACCACCGATTCTGACTAGGGATTTTCCTCTGATTCATTTCTATATCTTAATTTGGTCTAATTCTACGAATAAATTACTAGATCTAAGATCAGCTGTTTTTTTCTTCTTCATTAGATTTAAAGAGTTATTTCTTGAATGTTTCTTGAGGGTTTGAATCCTGACCACATTTTTGCAGACAGAATAACTACAGTTAGGTTGTAATTTGAGGAACATAAACACTCAACAGTATTTATCGAGCAAGTTTGAAGCATTTTAAGACATTGACAGAGGAAGTAGAACAGGAGGAAGTGATGACAAGTTTGTTTAGAGTAAAAAACCCTTAAGTAGAAGAGATAAGATCCAGTTCTTTAACACGAACATTAAAAACTTCAAATGTTAAAAAAAACTCTTCTCTGCTTTTTGTGTTTGAGCTACTCTATAATATTCTTTCTGTTAAAAAAATGAAATTCCCTTTGTGAGACAAAACAGTTGAACTTGGACAGTAAAAGAAAGTAAGATGCATAAAAAATTAAGTTAGGAGTGTCATGGTTCAGTTTTGGCCTGTTTCTCTCACACAGCTCAGCCTCACTCCCTCACCAATGGGCTCTATGCACAGCTCCACTACTTCCTGAATTTAATGCAGCTCCTTTGTTTCCTGTCTTTCATTACTGGACGAACTGATTAATCCAGGTGTGTCTGGCCAGTTACTTAGGTCATACACACCTGGATTAATCAGTGCATCCAATCATGAAAGACAGGAAACAAAGGAGCTGCATTAAATTCAGGAAGTAGTGGAGCTGTGCATAGAGCCTATTAGTCACACCTGTTAAGCACCAATTAGTCTAAGCTCACTCCACCTGCCAGCCTCTCTACAAAAGCCTCCCTCTGATAGCTCTTCCCCACTGGTTCGTATTCAGTCACTACAGATTCTAAAAATCGTCAGTCGGGTTCAGGTTTCCGTTGCTGTGCTGCTGGATCTTAGCCTTCTACCCTGTTAACTCTCTCGTCTGCACCTGGAGTTTACAGCAGCTCAGCGATACTCTGAGGTCCTCTAGACTCATTATGGACTCTGTTCACCAAGAACTCTGTCTGTTAACCTGCAGATCTCTACAACCTCTGTCTCCTGGAGCTCACGCTGCCCCCTGAGGATAATTACAGCTGATGCTCACATCAACTCTTCCAGCTCTAGTCCGGTACAGCGTCTGGTTACCTTCATCCTCAACTCATTACCTTCAAATAAACCCACAAGACTTGCTCAGTGTGTGTGTGTGTGTGTGTGTGTGTGTGTGTGTGTGTGTGTGTGTGCGTGCATTCTGGGTTCATATAGAACAATTATGACAAGGCAGAGATTACTATACAATTTTATGTAATAAAGAATTAGAACAAAAAATAACTCAATAGACTGTACATAACTGCAGAACAGTATTCCAGTAAGAACATGACAAGAAGAATAGAAATCACGTGCAACTAACCAACAGTATTTTTAAAAATGTCAAATTTAAGACGTTTTTTTCCGACTTAAAATTAAAAAGACAAAAAAAATCTTTGGTTCATGAAATGTGTAGTGTGCTAGATGTAAGAGTTCTGCTTTGGCCAGGTCGAAGCTTCAGCTCTGGAAAAAAAATTATGTTACACTTTTCAGTCATAATGTTCACCTTTTGCACAATTAAATGTGTGCTGAAGATTGTGATACAGTATAAATTACTGAAACTCCTACATTACAGTTTGTTTGTTTTTTGCATTATTACAAATATAAATTGTATAATAGTTAAAAGTATTTAATGATTAATACCCATAAATAAAAAGCTGTAATAGATGTCACTAGAAAATTAAACAAAATCTTCTTTCAGTACTGGATGCTTGATATGTAGCACAAATATCCACAGAGTTTATGATCTACTTCAGCTCCTCATATATAAGTGCTGCAGCCACTTTACCTGAGAATTTGCCGATGACACATGTTTGTTTCATCATGTACTTGAATTTAGCTAAATTTAAGAAATAAAAAGACAGACGGAGCAACACGCTACACATCAAACAGCACATTGACCTACCTGCATGTTGGATGTCAGGGCTGTTGCAAACCAGTGAGTTTAATTATCCTGGAAACCTGGGCTGGTAAATAATTTGGTCTGCCACATATTCCTCTTCCTATTACATTATTTATACACCTGTAGCAGATTTTGATATGCTTACTAAGGACATGTGCTGAACGTTTTTTAAAGTACTGACGTTTTATTAAACATATTAATCTAAATGCAACTCTTAAATGTATAATTTATGGATGGGGATAAAAAAATCTTATTAATCTAATTGATTTACACTTTATGTGAGATTTTAATTTATACACTGATTTTCATCAACAATGCATTTAGTAAAATCATAATCTATAATTTCTAAACTGTTGAGACCGTGGTTTACGTTTTGGCCAGTTATCATATTTGAATAGAGCTTTTTAAATTTGATGAAGGATCAAATGGAAAAAGCATTATTCAGCAGAATTATTTTAGAACAAAACAATATGTCTTCTAATAAGACTCTAAACTTTGTTACATACTTGTTGTAATTGTTTTCATCAACAGCTGTTGGTAATGAGACCTACTGCTGTGGTGCCATCAGCAGACCTCCAGCTTACATACCTTCATAGTTGCTGCTGAACAAACATGTTTAAAAACAGAAGGTAGTGAAGGACTCAGCACTCTGTGGTAGAAGAAATATCACAATGGTGGCTGTTTATGCTTTGATTAACATGTTTCAGTTAAAAACCCGATGTGTTCAGAGGTTCATCTTATGACTCCAAGAAAATCAGGTATCAAAAGGAAAATTTATCATTAACAAGATGAAAATGATTTATGGGATTATTTTCCATTTTTAAAGGTTCACATCTCCTCAGTCTCACAGGCGAAGCAAAATACATTTTGAACTAATGGAAAATTAAAACTTATCAAACTATACTTTCTAACATCTATTAGATCTATAAATCATAAATTCAGCTTCTCTCATTGGTCAAGCACTTTTCTTTTTAAGTGCTGACAATCTTCCCCAATTCTTACAGAGCAAGAAAGAATAAAAAAACAAAAGAAGGAAGTCAGTTTGGTCATCTGAGGAAAAGACACAGACGATTAGAGGAATAGAAGGGCAAGAGACAAAAGCTCATCAAGATATTTAATAAGTTTTAGCTCTAATAAGACTGATCAACTGTAAAATATACCCTGGAGGGTTAAACGATAAATGGAACTTTAGGGTTTTATTGTTAAGTTTTTCTAAATTAATATTTCAAGGCTACAAAATTACAGAAATGTGCACCATTTAATTTCTCATATCTATTGCAGGTGTAAACTACTTGCAGTCTTATTTATTTTTCCAAACCAAAAAGATAAAGTCACAGAAAAAAAAAAAGAATTGTCTATAATTTTCATGAACTGTGGTTCTACTGTTAGGAAGCACTCCTGACAGTAGAACACTCCGTTTGTGGGAGAAACACAGGTAAGTGACCACGTTCATCTGACAGAAGATGATTATCTGAGTTGGTCACTTACCTGGTTTAACTGTCCAGTCCCAGAGGTCTTGCAGGAAGCCCATCCTGGTCAGGGATTCAGAACAGACAGGATTAAGGTTTCCAGGCAGGTTCAGAGTCCAACAGAGTCCAGAAGCATGACCAAGCGGTCACGCACAGGAGCAGACAGGATCAGAAGCAGACGGGAACCAGAACTTAATGCAGGACCTTTAAACTGGTCTCCACCTTGGACGCAGGCTTACTTGGATAAAAACGGAAACTTCCCGTGTACAGAGCCAAAAACCCAGAGGGCTCAGCAGGGGAGGAACAGCGGACAAGCAGGAGACGAGACGGACACAAAACCCTCTTTCCACTGGCTGCCAGGATCCAGCACAAGAACCTTGGAATCCACATAACAGACAGGCTAAAAAAACAGTTAATGATCTGGACCCTAATGCTCAGGCTGAACTGAATATAAACCAAAGGAAAAAGATAAGAGGAATAAATGATAATTGAGGCAGGGAGGGAAAAACGACAGGTGAAAGAAACAACTAATTAAGGGAGAGCAAACAGGCCAGATCATGACACGTAGGTGTGATTTATTGTCTAAACTTTGCTTTGATTCAGGTTCAGTAATTCTCTATAACTTCTTCACCAGAGTTTCATCCTGTTGGGACTGAATGTTTCCAGCATCAAATCAGGATGTTGGTTTTCATCTGGATAATTGTGTCTCTCTCTACTAACAACGGTAATGCATGAATCTCCTCTGCAAACATATAGTGATCCAAACAGTGTTTATGTAAAATGCAATAAATCTGCTTGTTATCCTTGTTTGCTGATAAATACAGCTGCTGTTTGATGAGCAGACATACAAATAAAGGAGAACAACCAGACTATAGTTCAATCACAAATCTTTAATTCTTCACTTTTTGTATTGACATTGACTGACAAAGAGCTTTCTGAAAGCAGATAATGTAATTGTAGTCACCAATGAAAACCAAAACTAATGATTACTAACTTTGTATTTTCTTGTTTATCAACAGGTGCATTAGGACAGGAAGAAAAGTGTGAACAACAACCTGATTACTGTGTTTCTCTCTCTACAACCATAACAGCAGAGGCTGGACTCTGTGCTGTGATACCATGTTCTTTCAAATCTAAATTTGAGCCAAAAGTTATTATTTGGTCTAAATGCGAAAACCCCCAAAACCGATGTACATATTCTGACCGTGTCTTTCACTCTGACAAGAGCAATACAGACGTTCAGCCTGGGTTCAAAGGTCGAATATCACTGCTGGAGCCTGATGTGACTCAGAGGAACTGCAGCATCATAATCAATGATCTCAGAAAGTCTGATTCTGGATATTATCTGCTCAAAGTTGAAGGAGACGGAAGTGGGGAGAAATATTCTTATACTGTTTCATACACCAATCTCTCTGTAAAAGGTAGGAAACATTACAGGATAACTGTATATAATCCTATTTTTAGACCTGATGAAAAACATTGTTACTGTTTTTATTGACCTCTAAAGAAATTGTAGAATGGTCACAAGATTCAAAACGGCCTTTTTATTTTCTGTTTACAAACAAATAAAACATCTAGCGTTATTGAAGCTTTCTTGTCAAATTTAAGTTAATAATAAACATTTTTTGGGGGATGTAACCAATGAACTGTGTTTCCATCAGATCTTAACCAAAAGCCAGAAGTAAAGATTCCTCCTCTGATTGAGGGACAGCAGGTCACTCTGAGCTGCACTGCTCCTGGTTTCTGCTCTGGGTCTCCTCCTAAAATCACCTGGATGTGGAGAAGAAAAGGAGAGAAGGACTCTCACATCCAGGGAAACATCACTGCTTCAAAAACTGAGAATCTGACCGCTGTCACACAGAGTCACAGCTCAACTCTGACCTTTAAACCTTCAGCTGAAAATCACCACAACACCAATATAACCTGTCGGGTCAGTTTCACAGGAAATGAAACCAGAAAGAGGACTGAAACACTGAATGTAAACTGTAAGTACCTCATGATCAATAACTATTATTAAAGATACTTTTAACTCCATCTATTTAATATTTGAAGAAAGAAAAGGCTGATNTATCTATGACAACCCAAACACACAGGATTTCAGAATTAGACATCCCCAGTTTTTAATATTATACACTCACCAGATCTGAACGTCCTGTTCACTTCACACCCATGAGTAGAGGTAATGCAGCCTGATGATATTTACACCACATCAGATAGCGTTCCCCCATGTTAAGCAGGGGGAACGGCATCTGACGGGGTTTATAGGCCCGTCAGATAGCGTTCCCCCCTGATTTCATTTCTGTACTTGTCTTTGTCGTCCACTCTATTCCGCTGGCTTTTGAAACACATAGAGATAGATGGGGGACAGGTGGTGAGGGTTACGGGGGAGAGAAACGCAATAGTTACTTTTACTAGTAACTAGTTACTTTTATTGTAGAGTAACTCAGTAACTCAGTTACTTTTTGAGAGAAGTAACTAGTAACTATAGCAAATTACTTTTTCAAAGTAACGTGCCCAACACTGTTTACAGTCACATTTATTTTTTCCAAACTAAAAAGATATAAAGTCACAGATAATTAGAAAAAAAAATGTCTACAATTTTCATGAACTATGTTTCTTCTGTCAGGAAGCAACATAAAGGATAGAAATGCTGTATCGTAGGTGTGATTTATTGTCTAAACTTTGCTTTGATTCATGTTCAGTAATTCTCTATAACTTCTTCACCAGAGTTTTGTCCTGTTGGGACTGAATGTTTCCAGCATCAAATCAGGATGTTGGTTTTTATCTGGATAATTGTGTCTCTCTCTACTAACAACGGTAATGCATAAATCTTCTCCTCTGCAAAAATATAGTGATCAAAATAGTATTTATGTAAAATGCAATAAATCTGCTTGTTATCCTTGTTTGCTAATAAATACAGCTGCTGTTTGATGAGCAGACATACAAATAAAGGAGAACAACCAGACTATAGTTCAATCACAAATCTTTAATTATTCACCTTTTATGTTGACATTGAATGACAAAGAGCTTTCTGAAAGCAGATAATGTAATTGTAGTCACCAATGAAAACCAAAACTAATGATAACTAACTTTGTATTTTCTTGTTTATCAACAGGTGCATTAGGACAGGAAGAAAAGTGTCAACAACTTGGTTACTGTGTTACTCTCTCTACAACCATAACAGCAGAGGCTGGACTCTGTGCTGTGATACCATGTTCTTTCAAATCTGAATTTGAGCCAAAAGTTATTATGTGGTTTAAATGTGAAAAACCCCAATACCGATGTACATATTCTGACCATGTCTTTCACTCTGACAAGAGCAATACAGATATTCAGTCTGGGTTCAAAGGTCGAGTATCACTGCTGGAGCCTGATGTGACTCAGAAGAACTGCAGCTTCATAATCAATGATCTCAGAAAGTCTGATTCTGGATATTATCTGCTCAGAGTTGAAGGAGAGGGAGAAAAGGATACATTTTTTTATACTGTTGCATACACCAGTCTCTCTGTAAAAGGTAGGAAACATCACAAGATAAATGTATATAATCCTATTTTTAGACCTGAAGAAATACTTTACTATTTTTATTGACATCTAAATAAATTGTAGAAAGTTCACAAGATTCAAAACGGCCTTTTTATTTTAAATTTACATACAAATAAATAATCTAGCGTTATTGAAGCTTTCTTGTCAAACTTAAGTTAATAATAAACATTTTAGGGGATGTAACCAATGAACTGTGTTTCCATCAGATCTTAATCAAAAGCCAGAAGTAAAGATTCCTCCTCTGATTGAGGGACAGCAGGTCACTCTGAGCTGCACTGCTCCTGGTTTCTGCTCTGGGTCTCCTCCTAAAATCACCTGGATGTGGAGAAGAAAAGGAGAGAAGGACTCTCACATCCAGGGAAACATCACTGCTTCAAAAACTGAGAATCTGACCGCTGTCACACAGAGTCACAGCTCAACTCTGACCTTTAAACCTTCAGCTGAAAATCACCACAACACCAATATAACCTGTCGGGTCAGTTTCACAGGAAATGAAACCAGAAAGAGGACTGAAACACTGAATGTAAACTGTAAGTACCTCATGATCAATAACTATTATTAAAGATACTTTTAACTCCATCTATTTAATATTTGAAGAAAGAAAAGGCTGATCATTTGGATTAAGTTTGGTTGTGAAGTAATTATAATTTATACCTCAGAGATTGTTAAATAAATACCAATACCTGAGCAAACTGATGTGGCATTAAGTGGTTCATATAGGGCTCCAAGGTATAAATATTTGGCTATTAATCTGTACATTATGACTGGTTAATAATCAGATCGCAAAAGATGCTTTATAAATTATGGATTTAAACTTAAGAGAACTTGAACAAAGAGAAATGTTACTTAAGGAGGAAGCAGTACATTAAGTGACCAAGATAGATTTTTCAATAATAAATGTAAAATGTCTATACATGTTTTTATAGTTTTAGGTTAATTATTGCGCTAAGTTGTTTTCTTCTTTAACAAATGATATTTGTATGGGCTATGATTAAGCAATGAATACATTAGGTGACTATTATTCCAATAATCAATTAATTACGATTAATCTTATTAAATGTTTTAGCCATTGGTAAATATTGAGAACACAGATGACTAATCAGAAGAAGAAATATACAATTGACTAACTTCAAAAACCTCCCAAACATCCTTAATTCATTCATTTTACTCCTCAGATATCAGAAAACCTCAGATAAGTGGTAGAACAACAGTGATGGAGGGAGATGATCTGAATCTGACCTGCAGTGTGGACAGCTTCCCTCCATCAGTTATCAGGTGGACTAAATCTGGAACNTGTCAGTGAGCCCCAGGGCAGCTGTGGCTACAATGTAGCTTGCCACCATCAGTGTGTGCGTGAATGGGTGAATGAATGTAGTGTAAAGCGCTTTGGTCAAGTCTCCTAACTTGGATAAAGGCGCTATATAAGTACATGCCATTTACCATTTGTACATTATGACTGGTTAATAATCGGATCACAAAAGATGCTTTATAAATTATGGTTTTGAACTTGATAGAACTTAGACAAAGATAAATGTTACTTAAGGAGGAAGCAGCACATTAAGTGACAAATATGGATTTTTCAATAATAAATACATTTTCTATAGTTTTAGGTTAATTACTGTGCTAAGTTGTTTTCTTCTTTAACAAATAATATTTGTATGGTTTATGATTAAGAAATGACATTAGGTGACTTTTATTTCAATAATCAATTAATTAAGATTAATCTTATTAAATGTTTCAGCCATTACTAAATATCGAGAACATAGATGACTAATCAGAAAAATAAATATATAATTGACTAACTTCAAAAACCTACTTAAAATCCTTAATTCATTAAGCTGTTTAAACCTCAGCTCTAGTTTTGCTCTAAGGATATTAGAAAACCTCAGATATACGGTAGAACAACAGTGATGGAGGGAGATGATCTGAATCTGACCTGCAGTGTGGACAGCTTCCCTCCATCAGTTATCAGGTGGACTAAATCTGGAACAGAAACTGATCTGCAGGATCATGTTTTAAGGAAAGCAGATAACAAAACATTGATCTACCTGCAGGAAGAAAGTGGAAATGCCTCTTTTTCCATCATTAATATTTGACAAAAGAAGTCGTTGTTAATGTGACATTCTAGTAGATTTATCAAAATAAAATAGCAAATATATTTTGGTTTTAAAACTCAATATTCTAAATGGAAATCCACCTCTTACAGGGGAACACCAGCTTGTTACATTTCCTCTTAATGTGACGTTATTACATCATGTTCTAAAAATGATAATAATAAATTTTATTTGTAATGCACTTTACATTTTTTTTTTAAATCTCAAAGTGCTACCGGATAAAATCGTCAATCAAAAATCAAGATAGAATCAAAATCCGCTGAACTGCTGCTAGTTTTACTCACATGCCAGGAAGATGTCTAGTGCTACTACCTCAGATGATCTCACTCTCGAAATGGAATTGAACGATTCAGATTAGCTACTGTAGCCGAATGAATGGAAGGGATAGAGCGTAGCCGCTTCTAATCCGGGCTGCTGGTCACAATTCCAGTCCGGTGCGTGTATGACGTCATACACACTCCGCTTTGTTTAAAAAAAATATAAATATAAAAACTATAGCCGTGGATGTCTGGGGAACAGTGATTCTCCTACATGTTATGAATGCTGGCGTACCATAAAGAATAAATTATGAACAGCTTAGATTGTGCCTTCAACTCACTGCCCATAGTAAGACGTTACTTGGATATAACAAAACTGAATATCTTTGGAACGGCTCCAAATGACACAAAACTCATATGAGTGAGTTGAACATGATGTAATAACGTAAAATCAAGGGGCCAAAAAAAAAAACGGTGTTCTCCTTTAAGCTTATTGTTTTGTTATTTCTTAAGAGTTGTTCATTTTAGTGTTCAGCACCGAATGTCTGAAGCACAGTTTTGTACCTTTCTCCACAGACTTTAGAAAACCTCAGATCTTTGGCAAAACCACAGTAAAGGAAGGAGATGATCTGAATCTGACCTGCAGTGTTGACAGCTTCCCTCCGTCATTCATAAAGTGGACTAAAGTTGGAACAGAAACTGACCTGCAATCCAACATTTTAAACAAGTCTTATAACAGCACTCAAACATTCCTGAATGAGAGTCCTCATAATTCTTCTTTGCTCATCATTAATGTAACATCAGAAGACGCTGGACGCTACATTTGTACAGCAACATACCAGAATGACACCCTGACAGAAGAAGTCATTGTTCATGTGACATGTGAGCAAAACACATAAGATATGATTATAGCAGAAATCTGTTAACATCCAGATGTGGTTACTTTAATTTAGGAATTTTGTGTACAGCAGAAAAATGTGTGTTTTTAAGTGCAGTCTTATATATTTTAATGCTTAAATGAAATGCATCTCAATTTATCAGTATTTCTGTAATTTCTCAGCTAATCATGTGACACATTGTGGGGTTGGCTGTGCAGCTCTTCCCTGGGCCATTGCTGGTGTTTCACTTAGTGTAAATGTTCTCTGTATGATCTACATTTGGCTCCTTTGGTGAGTTACAGCAGCTAAATATGATGTTTTCTGGTCCATTCGTACAGGCTGTTTGTTTTAACAATATTTTTCTATTTAGGAACACAAGAAAAAAGATGAAACCCACTGAAGGTGACCCAACTTACATGTTTCTACAGAAATCTGATACATCAGCAGGGTATGACACCATTGTCCAACGACCACGCTGACATGTCTACAGGAATCATTGAAACTTGGATCTAACCTGCTTAAAACTGGACTTTTATTAAATATACTGTTAAGGGATGCAAAAGAAAAGAAGAGAGCATGTATGTTAATAATGTGTCGATTAATTTAGTCTTTTCACGTTAGCTTCTTTCATCTCTTGGTTTTGGTCACTGAAGTTTAATATTTAGTTTATTTTCAGTATTTACCAATGGTGTAGTGGACAGATTTTTTCAGTAATGTAGGTAAAAAAAAAAAACTCCTAAGTCATTTCCTGAATAACTGCACGTGTGAAAAACCATTCTACCCTTTCTTCTGGAATCACCAGGAAGAATCTCTCAAATATATTCTGGCTATATTGACCGTTTCCATGGTGATGTGGTTATAGTCTCAGACTGAAATGAGGGGATCCAACCCCTGATGGACCCCTGGGTGTGTCAGGAAGGGCATCTGGTGTAAAATCTTTGCAAAGTTTACCAGCTAGTTGTAAGGATTTGTTATAGCGAACCTTGAACAAGGGAGCAAGAACACACACTGTTCTAAGCCTTTCTTTCCTACTTATAAACTGGTTTGATTTTTTTCTCCCTGAGAATGTGAGACATTTAAGTGTTTGAAAACAGTAGTTGATCCACAATGAATGAATGAAGCTTACATGTTATATAAACCCTAGACATGCACCTGTGCAGGAATAAAAGAGGAAGAATTACAAAGATCGGCATGTGGGACAATCATTGCATAAGATGCTACCCCTGGGACTCAAAGCTGAAAGATCATCCACTATACCTTAAAGTACTTTTATGTTGAATGTTGAGGCATCTATTTTCATGTTTGCAGCTTTGCCAAAAAATATCTGCTTTAAAATATTTTTTATTCTTTATAAGTTTATATTTCAGTCTTAATGGAGTTTCAAACTATGTTTGCTCATTTATCCAACGTTTTTATGCTCATTAGAAAATAATTTGTCAAAGAACAAATGATAATTAAAAAAAAATATATGCAAGTATTACTTTTCTTGAAGAGTTGGTGAAAATTATTTGATAACATCTTTGAGCTAATATAGAAACACACAACTTTCAGTTGTATTGTTGACATTGATGCTAGAGCATTAATATCAGAACAAACTTAATTGTCCAGGTTTCTGAGCACAACGAGGGATTTTCTTTTACTTTGGGTTTTATCTCTAACATCTGGAATCGGCATCAGTCCAAACATTTTAGACATAGGTGGAGTCTTTACTGAAAAAAGAAATACAATTTAGAATAATAATAATAAAAAATTTATTCTGTATTTTTAATGGATATTAAATGAAAAAACAAATTTACCATCAAAGTGAAACGCTCAATATGTTAAATTATTTTAGGTTGCATGATATAAGCTTAACTATTTAGCATGTTTACACAGTCTGTGTTTTACACACTCCTACATGGTGGTGTAGTTGTTAGCATTATTCTCTTGAAGCTGAAACCTCAGATGTTTAAATTAATGTCAAGACCCTGTCTTATTTGTTCTCTATGTACAGGTATGTGTTTTGGTTCTCTCCAGGTATTTACAATTGCATTTCTCAGTTCAAACTCATATGTGAAAATGATTATCTGACATATTCAGGACAAGCTTGAGAAATGCACCAACACAACACACTAGGTCTATGTGGATTTGGGACATACAGTATGTGGAGAAATATCCCTAAACATCACAATTTAAGGTTTTCACCTTTTTTCTTTCTGTGTCTTTAAGAAATTTTAAAGTCAGGGAATTTACAATTACTCAAGAACTAAACACTGACAGAAAACAACTACAAATAAACTTAACCAGAGGGCAGAGCCCTACAAAATAGGACTTGTTAAATTTGATGAAGAATTGGATCAGATGGAAATGGCATTGTTAAACAGAATTATTTTAGGACAAAATATTTTATCTTCTCATCAGAGGAAAACATGCCAGACTCTAAACTTTGTTACATACTTTGTCCTAAAGGGGGCAGCATTGTTCCTGCCCTCAGCACCACAGACCATGGTAGATTGATTTCATCAGCAGCTGTTGGTTATGAGACCTACTGCTGTGGTGCCATCAGCAG